CACTCATTTGTTTTACATTTCATGTACAGACAAAACTAATTTCGGCCTCATATCTAAGACCCCTATCACATCTTAAACTCAATATTCTCTTAGGTAAGGATGTACAATGCAACTTTAGCAAAGAGATCAAAATTAGATGGAAAACATTTAAAATGTAAATTTAGGATCGCGGTACTAATATGAAAATAATGTTTTCACCACATCCTAACTCTTCCCCAAATTTCTATGGATGCATCAATTCTTCACAGATTAGATGTGCTTTTTTATATCTAAATCTGTCAGTTTTCAAATGACAGTAAAGGTGATTATAACTGTATTTTTCCGATAAAGGAAACTTTGGTATGCTTCTAGAGATCAAAAATTGCAGCACAGGAAAGCATTTAAAATCAAGTAGGTGGTTAATCACTCTATAAAAAGGTGGATTTTGACAACACGTTTAAAGATACACATGGAGGAAGGAGTACAGAGACTGAAATGCCACCCAGTTGAAGCTGGGACTGATATACACACAACTCACATTCTCTGCTGTGCGGCATCGATGGCAGGAGACAACAGCCCCGCAGTGCAACTTTCAAGGCCCTGACTGTGAGGTTATTCTACTGGGGATGGGGTGAGGAATAAAACTGTTAAAAAATAATTTAACCTTTTAACGACCTTTGGAAAGGATATTACATGTGTTGTTTCTTAAACTAAAAGAGAGGGTAAGGCATTATAGTGATGCAGTGAACAGGTGGCCATTAGGTATGGTGATTACACTATTTTTATTCTTTCAGATCTCAACAGTGATGTTTTCAAGTATTGCTATCACTAGCCACTCAGCAGTGGTGACCCACACTGACGTACACATTCTCTACATTTATTCCTTTTCCTCTTTTTAAAAAGCCTCTCAAAACACTTGTAGCATACATAGTGTCATTCAGAAACAAAGTGTGCAGATTTCCGAGACCTGACTTCAGATGCTCAGTCATCCAAAAGCCAAAAATGGAACTGACTTCTAAGACAGAACTAACACAACAGAGAAATGGGAAGGACTGGAAAGCTCTCACATCTGTATGAGAAGCCAGTCCAGAAGACAATGAGTTTTTTGCATAATAACAAAAGCTCAACCAAACCAAACAAAACAAAGCAAAAACAGAAGCAATACTTTGAGAACTGATATTCTACAAATTTAAAGTTAAGATGTCTTATGTAAGATATAATGTACTACAGCAAAAAGAGTCTAATTAACTTAATATTGAAAGGAAAATGTGAACTTTTCAACTGATTTCGAGATGTTAGAATATGTGCTTTCGGATGTCAAGGTAAGAGAAAGTGCTTGCATCTTGACAAATCAATAATAAATTCAGTTTTAATCGAAGGTACTTTAATTAACTTTTGTACTATATATCCTTCTTACTCTCTTGTTCCCTTCTATTTTAACTGACCTGAAGAAAGGGACAAAGTACAACAAAAACCTGGTTAACAAAAATATATATCAATCTTCTTAGCTTCTGGGCATAGATGAAAATTTATGACAGATTTAATACCAGCTTGAGAATAACTAAGCCCAATTATAATTATCTTGATGGGAAGGAAAACTAATTAAACACTCAGTGATAAAGACCCCACAGCAAATATAGAATAAACACAATCGGAGAAGGACAGGGGCTTGAAATAAAGGAGAAGAGAAGGGAGAGGCAATACTCAGCCCATCTGTTCGGACAGTAATGGGACGAGGTAATCTTTTCAATAGAACATGGAGTTCATTACACTGGAAATGAGACTACCTGGCAGGCAAAGTCAGTGGAGTCTCTAATTCTCCTCTTCAACTTTGTGATTTGCTAACGTGAAACACATGTCTCTCTTTTGCACCAAGTTCAAATGACTCTGGAATTCCAACCGTGCAGCTCAGCGACTAAACCAGAACAAGGGGAGAACTTGTCAGGATTTAAGAGCTTTCAGCAAAGCCCTTCAATTGCAGCCAGCACCCTATTCCACAGAAGGATATCAATTATAGATAGTGACTTGCTTTAGCAGGCAGTCGGGACTGCCAGACACTAGATAGACAACCATGAAGAATCATGAATCTTTCCATTAACTGTAAGAGGAGGAAAAAGAATGGATCATAGCTATAAATAAGGCGCAGCATCAGAATGGCTTAACACCTTGCCCCTTGGTTGTATGTAGCATGAAAATTCAACTAATTCACAAAATGTCCTCTCTCCAAGGAAAGTCATAGGAATAGAAGCAGTTAATGCTCCCCTCTATCCCTAAAAAGGTGGTTTTTGCAGCTGGTATTATTTCCATCTGCCAAAGTAATTAGGTGGACTTGAAGTAGCTACTGGTACATTCAACAAAAAATAAAGCGCCTATTCTATACCAGGTCACTGCTAATGCTACCATATACACTCGTGAGTATGAAGGTACTTAAATGTCATGCAAAGTAAAATCAGTTTAAATGCACAAAAATGGAATTTCCACACTTTGGATAACGAGTAAAAAGGTAGCAAATAAGTGATATAAACTACTCTATTTATGTAGTTGTAAGTTATGATTTTTAATTCACTTAAATAAGTTTACTTATTCATATAATTTTCTCAGACTACAACTAATATCATAAAGACAATATATTAAATTTCCTTCTAATCCTGGCATTTTTTCTAGCTGATTTAGAATAAAAAAAAATTCCACTGTATGTCTTCATTCATATTTTTACAATAAAACAGACAACATGGTGGTCAGTTGATAGCTTAAGCACCATTACCTTAAAATTACTCAGATTTCTCTATTAAAACAACACTGCTACCTAAAACCTTTCTCCACTGAGATTAAATACAAATACCCGCAACATCCACTGTTTTTAAAAAGCCTTCACATTAAGTGGCCAGCAAAAAGGTTTATTATCACAACCCAAAAAATGTTACCTCCAACCTCGCCCCTAATGAGGAGCACAATTCCCTTTACATGTAGGCTTAGAACAAGCTCTTATTTCTTCCTCATTTGATAATGGCTGAACCATAATCACAGCATTTTTTGAAAACTACAATGACTTACCCACAGAAAAGGCATCAGGAGACTACATCATCTCTCAGAAGGACATTTTAACAAGCAAGCAGCACTGCCAATATCTCAGTTATGATGGCAGTTTTTATACAAACGATTCTCCTCATTTATGTTGTGTGCTCATTATATCACTCGGTATTCTTGGCACACTCTATGCTTTGGGAATGTTTCTCTACATTAAAAGAAAAATTCAAAACTTCTTTTTCCCCTTTAATAAGACAATGTCTGTGGTTTCCATTAAAACGACCAGAATGAAGGGCCATTAAGTCAGGCTTGGCTTAAAAAATAACACTTGCATCAAATTAAAGAAAAAAAAATAAAATAAGTTCATAGAAAAATCTAGAAATACACCTTAATTAAAAACATCTGATACTCTAGTTTTTTGCTGTGCTGATAAATCTATAATTCTTCCTTTACCATTATAGAGATACGATTAAAAGTGAAATAGGGGGGAACCCTGCTGATGTCATGTTAAATCCTCAAAACATTCTATACACAACAGAGCTCAAGACAGACAAACCATATATTTAACACTATAATGTAACTGCAATGTGTGGAACATATCACACAGAATGGGCCAAGTTGCAAGACACACTTCAAAAGCTCAGAGAGCCTATGAAACATGGGGGATGTGTGAGGAATTTTATAATTTTAGTGTTTTAAAAAATAATCTTAGTGTTTAAATGGAGGAAGGTTATCAACAAATATGGATCATCTCAAATTAAAAAGTTACTATAAAAGAGAATGGAGTGTGTGTATGGGGAGGGATAGTCACAATAAAAGCTGGTCTGTCAGATTTTCCATATTAAAAGCTCATGAAACTGCCACACTTAGCAAACCATCCATGTCTTAATGGGAGCCTGTCCTTCTGCACCGGAGTGTGTGAACTACATCTTTTTATTCTTGATTATCTAAATGCCCTTCCATTTCAGCAGCTCCTGGTCCCATTTGCCAGGGAGACTCTATTGGCCTGAGAGAAAGTGCCGAATAAAACAAACACTGGCGAAGGATGTATGGCTAATCAGGTGTGTGTGCATGGGGTGGGGGCACACTAAGCATTATTTGAAATGATACACAAGGGAGGGAGGGAAAAGAAGCTAGTATGGCAGGAGAAGGTGTGGTTCTCAATCTGACTGCACTGCAGTTTTCAAAAATAGACATCATTAAACACATTTTACAATACATATCACTTTTTCCATGAAACTATTAGCCCTGCAATGGTTGGCCTCAAGTCAAGAAGCTGTGCCAACGGCTCGCCCCAAGCATCTAACTATCTCACACGGAGTACTAATTGCTGCATAAAACAGTGGGAGATTCCTGAGGCAATGAGGGTTTGGGAGAGGAAGGTAAAGTGGAAAAAAGGAATCTCCCAACTCTACAATCTTTTCTGTTTTACTGGGTCTTGGAAAGGAAACTCAAACTTGGTTAAAGGTTAATAATAATTCATGTCCAGCTCACTATTACTCAATAACCATCAAAGTCACTAACTCAAATAGTGTTCTCTGGCTTACAGGATCAGAGTCATTACATTCTCTATTGAAGACTTTATTGAATTTTACACTAAGCTTTAGCTGATTGAACAGGTCAAGCACCGTGGCTCAGAGTTCTCTTTATTCTCAGAAAGTCATAAAGGCCTCTCCAGTTTGCAATGCTGCTAGCTAAGAAACTTGACTCAGCGCAGGGTCAGGGAAGATGATCCCACAGAAAGGTCACATAGTTGTAAAGCCCAGTTCCCAAGTCCCCTTCACTTACATGTACCAGCTGCTCCTGGGTGTCAAACTCCCTGGTGCAGCCTTCCCAGTGGCAATTTGTCTCATAGATGACTTCAGGCTCTTGCTTGCTTTCATCTTTGTCCCCTTCCTCTTTCACCAGGGTGGTTCCTTCTGGCTGTTCCTGAAAGGCAGGAGGATAAGGCAAAATGGGAATAAGAGAGTAGAAAAACCTGATTTAGGTTTCTTTTCCTCCTGATGTAAGTTTTCGGTGAAAATAAAATAGAGCCCAGGTCTGTCAACCGGGTTTTATGAATAGAAGAAGTCAAACATATGGAATCATTTGTTTTTTTTTCAGATTTACCAATACCTCTTCAGAGATTGTTAACTTGTGATTAAAGACAACAGTCCAAATCATTGTTATTGTTATTGTTGAGGCCAAATTTTGCTGTCCTTTAATACCAAGCTGGAAAAAATCTGTCATCCCATAAGAGAAGCAATTAAACTAGGTCAAGTTGTCTTTATCCAAAAGACTGGTCTTTCTCTTTCAGATAGATTCTTTTCAGTATATTAATTTGTCCATTCTCATATTTTAGAATCCAGGGAAATGGTTACTAGCAATTCTAACTGGAGGCTGTGAGAGGCACTCAGTGGATTTTATAGTGTTCAACCTCTGATCTCCAAGGGTACATTCTCTGCACAAGAACCACAGCATCTAATGCTTGGAGGGTATAGTCTGTCCTGGTCTTCTTAGGACATTTTAAGCAATTAAAACACAAAGAATTTCTAGAATTCTGGAGACAATTATATGTGTGGATTCCAGTTCTAATCTGGGGCTAGATGACAAAAACTGTATACAACTGTATATAACTGCTGGCTAGCAGAATGCAAGAGGAAGGATGGATTTCAGAACCCATAACATCCATTCATTCCATTCTCAGTTTGGGCTAAAGCAGTATAAGGTTTTGGGCAGACACAACCTAGCCATAGCAAAGTCCAGATTCTATGGATGTCCAGATTCTTGTTCAGCCTCTATCTCGGGATTAATATTCACTGACCTCTTTCCTGTATCAGGCACAGGGACCCTAGGAGCTGGTATTATGGTAATATACACATCTTTAAATTGAGGCTCAGAGGATCTAAGTGACTCAAGCAGAGACCAGATTGGAATTTCTAAACTCATCCTTTCAAGGCTTTGGGTGAAGGCCCGGAATCTAAGTAGCCTTAGGATAGGTTGGTTGTGCCTTGATCCCTCCCCGTTCTCCAGGCTCTCCTGGAAAGTGGGAAGTGGCAAAATAAGTACAAATAAGAACATGATCAGTACAGGGAACATCACTAGCTCTGCCCAGCTCAGGCTTAGGGCCAGGAGGTTATAATTTCAGGCCCAAGACTGGGGCTAAGGACTGAAGCCTGGTCACATTGGTGGTCAGTAACAAATTAATCCACCTACTTACCCTATGAAGCAGTTTATAACCCATATAGCTTCCTGCATGTTTTGTTTGCTTCTGAGCCAGAGAAACAAATTAAGTCAGACTTTGTAACTGGTCTTTTGTCAAGTGCAGAACTTGAGTGCCTCACCTGCTGACCCCGTGGCCCAGGGCTGGGGAGGTCCTCGTCAGGTTTGATCTTGGACCGTTTGTTGTGCATCAGGTCGCCAGTGCTGCTCACTGCAGACTCACTTGTGGGCTTGTTCTGCTGATCACAATTGCAGGGACAAGGACAAAATTAGGTTTTGATCAATGAGCAGGATCATTACTAAAACATGCAATTCAAAACAAGCAGGTTTGTTTGACACTAACTAGAGTAATGACTGATAACATTCCAATCCCATGGTAGCAGAGTTCATAACGTGTTCGAAGCCAGAAAATACATTCATGAGGCAGCTCCTCGGTTTTACCTCACGAGTATAATCTCCCTGTGGCTTTTAAAAGCAAGAAGGATAGTGCTGAGGGACTGGGCTTTAATGAGTGCCAACAATGAATTCAAAAGAACAAAGTTCTGAGATGGGCAGAAAACCAACATGAACTGTTGGCAAAGTTCTTTAATTAGAGCGTCCAGATTCTTCTCTGAGCGTTATCAGTGTGGAGGTAAGAACAGAGGGCATAGCAGTTTTATTCGTACTCTGATGTTATCACATGATTCTAAGCGCCAGCAGACAGTGACCAAATGAGAGCAACACATTCATGAATGTATTTCTATTGAATGAGGGGATATACAGCACTGAGTCAGAGTGAAGCTTATCAAGCAGCCCACTGTTCCACCAAGGATAAATGACTCTAATGGAAGAAGCTGTTGTTTCATGAGGAGTGCATACACAGCATATTCATCAAAAATGAAGATGACAGCCCTGGGTTAGGAAGACAGGCAACAATATGGAAGTCCTGAGAATGCCAAGTCACAGTGCTTATTAAGAGCGGCAGACTGGCATGGCTCTCCTCTATAATTACCAGGACCAACCAGCTCATCGAGCTGTCTTTCTCACCTGTGAGGATTCGGAAGGGCCAGAGCTGACCTGGACGGGGTTCAGAACCGTAGGGATCCCAGGAATAGGCCTCTGTGTTGGAAAAGTTGGGGCAGGATGGATGAGTGGAGGGCTATGTCCAAAGGCCGAGCCTAAGCTCTGTTGTCGGCTTAAGATTTGTTGATGCATATGGAGAGACATGGGTGCAGAAGGGTAGGTGAAACTCAAGGCAGGGCTGCATGGGGGAAATAAAGAGCAGGAGACCATCACTGACACGGAACGCAGAAACTAGTGCAGCAACCCATGTTTGCACCTTTATGCCTCGTTTTATCATCCCAAATCACATCAAGTCTGTCTGTTTAAATTAGAAAATAAAAACAATTATTGACAAACATCTTCAGAAGTTCAAGAGAAAGATGACAAAATACGCACATGTGTGCAAACAAACACAGACCTGAAATAAGATTCAGCAAAATGAAACAAAAGGCATCAGCTCAATAACAGCTATTTATTGCAATAACAAACTTTAGATAAAAAAGAGAACAGGTGACTACATGCTTTATAGTACTTTCATTGGCTCTCAGTTCCATATGTTCCTGTGCATGGAGCGATTCCTTTAATCTCAGCTCACACTGTGCACTTTCATATGTCTCCAGATCTTATTACAAGAGGAAAGAAAATCAATTGGTTAAATGTGCTCTGAACACCGTACTTGTCATATCACTCATTTGTTTGTAAAGATGGAAAGCTTGGTTCATCCAGAATGCCACCTAAAGAATTTCCATCAGTGCCGTCTGGTTACAGAATCTGATGGATTAACCTCTCCTGGGTGAAATCTGTGATCAATGGGCTTTGATGGAGGAATATTCCAATGGGAGGCCAGAACTCCCTCTTCCAGCTAAACAGCATTAAATGCCTATTAAAGTCCATAATACATGCTAATGCCTGTCACTACTTCATTACGTCCCAGGATTTCTCAGGCTACATACAGTAAGTTCTGAGGAAGCTGCTCTATTACCTAAAGATTTCTTGACTAGTAGGCAGTGCCAAATCATCCTTTGTGCCAGCATGGTTTATCCTCTTAAAAGAATGAAGTGCTCGAGGAATTTGCCAATGGCTTAAAAATGCATGCAAAACTATAAGCATATTCATGAATATTTCTTTCTTAAAAAATAATCAGTGAACACACACACACACACACACACACACACACACACACACACACACTTCCCCCATCTTGCTATGTAATACACTGAATCAGGGTTTCTTGTTATAGCAAAGGTAGCATTCATGCAAATTTCCAGTTTGGTGGGTTAATTACTATTGCTGTTAAGCGCATTAACTGAGAATGTAATAATTACAATAACAAAATTCAAATCATTTCAACAACTAAGTAATAATTCCAAAGATATACTGTTCATTAATGTGACTCCACATTTTGCCTATTTGACTACAATCCATAAAAGGCAGCTTCAATGGGATTACATTACTATTATTCCTACAGCGAACCTTACATTACAATAGCTTGCCCATTTAAGACTGAATATCATTAAGAATACCCTAGGAGAATTTCGCCAGGCTTGGAGGAACTCTCCTTTCATTCTGTATTGTATTTCTTTAATAAAGGAAAGCAGGAACATGGTGAAAACAGTCATTGTTCACAGTAAGTTAGGGAGAAATCAGTAATAATAATCCGTTTCTGCAGTGTTACGGTTTCTGCCAGTGTTTCTGAAAGCAACCATGAATGATTACAGCAAAACTTAGCAAAGGTAGCTGTGTGGATGATTGATAGGGCATTAATCAAAAGATGCATATCTGCCTCAGAATTTGTTCACAAGCTTTCTTCTAATAGCTGATTTCATGTTCACTGAGCTCTATGCCAGTTTGTTCAATTTATTTTTCAGTGTACAAGCCATTCATCAAAAAAGCACAATGATTTACACCCCCCTTCCCTTTGGTGAATGGATATTACTAAGTTTAACTACCTTATTCTATTTATTAAAAAAAATAGATCTGACTACACATACATTTACAATGTGGCATAGACTTTGCAGGAACCTCCATACACCTTTCCAGGGTTTCCTGAGCCTGCACAATCAGGTGCTCGTAGTGGGCCCCTATGGTCACTTACATTCTAATTCTAGAAGGCAGAGTTGGAGACTCAAAAAGTGAGGACCTAATTAAGAATCAAGACCATTGAAGAACACAATTCACAAGGAAGAAAAGGCCCTTAGTTTCATATGTAAGCAATTTACAAACGTTAGTAGCCAAACAAGGTAGGTACACTTTTACTTTTAAAAAGATGTAGGAGAGAAGACAAAAGCCAGGGCTGCAGTCCTGTTCTCAGGTGCATTCTGCCTTCCTCCAGCAGACACAAGAAGGAGTTACAAAAGCTTACAACGTATTTCGGTAACATCCCCTTTTGGGCTGCTTTTTTGCTGGTAAAACCAGGTGACAGGAATAAATATTCTCCAAAATCCATGTCAACTATTAGATTCCAAGGGATGGAGGCCATACAGAATGGACAAATGGTTTTCAGCTGTCACTGCTTATTCATAAGGCAACAGCAACAGAAACTCTCTCCTCTACGTGCAAAGAGCTGGCGAGAGTGAGGCACATACAAGGGCCTGGGCTCAACCCAGAAGGGCTGGTGGTGCTGTTGGCTCCTTGAGGTGCTGCAGGAAGGAAGGAAGGATGCTTGCTAGAGATTACAAAGCCGATTTAGAATTTGATGACAAAAGAGAAATTCTTGACTAGGTCACAGCATCGGTGCATGAATTTGAGTGCCACGCTTCCTCTTGCTTTCAGAGCAGCTTGCAGAGTTCTTGACCAAGTTTCTTAACGAAGTAGCAGAGATGGGCAATGACTGCGCACTGCCTTTGGGAGTCAAAGAGAAAAAGAAGCCCCCCCACCCCCACCTTGCTCCCATGAGCATGAAAAGAAGCTCCAAGGGATTTCTCATCAGTGGGGACCAGGGGATCTAAGCCACCACCTGCTCTGTGACCCTAGGTGGTAGTGAGCTGTCATCCTAAGAAGCTCTGTCTTGTGAGTCTCTCTGCACACAGGTACTTGCTATGCCCTTTCAGAACTCAGCATGGCTGCATCCTTTCTGTCATTCGGGTCTTAGCTTAAATGTCACCTCCTCAGAGAGGCCTCCTGAGACCAATTCCCCCATCAAAATAAGCCCCTCTGCAGCACCTTGCCCCATCATTCTCTATTGTTTCACAATTTTATTCTTACCACACCACGGCACATGGTTCTCTGAGATCATATTCTCTCTCACCCTATATAGAATATAAGTAAGGTACAGGTAAGCTGGGTCCTCGTCTACCTTGCTCCCCACTGACCCTGGTGCCTGGAACACTCCCCAGCACATAGCAGGGACTCAATTTTAAATCATTGTGTGATCGATCGCTTCCACAATGTATTAGTGTCCTGTTGCTGCTGCAACAAATTACCACAAACCTAGTGGCTTAAAACACCACATACTTATCTCATAGCTCTGGAGGTCAGAATCTCAAACAGGTTGGCAAGCCTGCATTCTTCTGCAGTTTTTAGGTACCTTGCCTCTTCCAGTTTCTAGAGGCTGCCATATCCTGGGCTCATTGCCCCACATAACTTTGACATTCTCCTCTCACTCTGACCCCCTTTCTTGCCCCCTCTTATAAGGATCCTTGTGATTGCATTAAAGTCACTTGAATAATCCAGGATAACCTCCTCATCTAAAAATTCTTAATCACAGCCACAACCTTTCTTTTGCCATATAAGGTAACATGTTCATGAATTCCAGGGATTAAAATATGGACATCTTTGGAGGCCATTATCGTGCCTACCACACTCAGAACAGTCACTTCAAAGAAAAACATGTTTTCCTCCGAAAACTACAATTTGATGCGTCTGTAAAACAATATTATATAAACAAAGTTAGAGTCTAGATTCATTTCTTTCTACAGAACTTCAGCAGCTGATAACAGACTTTGCTAATTATAGAGGTCTGAATTCAAAAGAAAATATAAATTCCACCTTTAGAAACCCTAAAAAAAACCTTCCTAAATGGTTCATGTATTTATTCCATAATGTCCTAGAAATATAAAGTATTGATACTATAGAAAATATTTACAAATCTGTCTTCTCTAAAGAAGGTCATAGTCTAAAACTTGGTCTACCTGACCTTTACTATCCCAAGCCTTTACATTTCTGCTCACCCTATTCTTTCCTATGGATCACTTAAATAGAGATTAATTTTACAGTCTGATCTCTGAACTCTTCACTCAATGTTCAATAAAGTGTAATTTAAAACTGTTTTTATAGCTTTCACTTCTTTTCTACATGAGGACTTGAAAGATGAGGCAATTTAAAAAACAAACATTTATAAGAATGTGACTTAAAACTGCTAATCTAATTTAGTCAATAAGATCTCTAGAAAGAAAGTGTCAGGTGGCCCAGATCCCCCCAAGCAATGCGCTAACATTGTCATAGGCCTCCTGAGATTACAATCCAAAAGTAAGTATTATGAGGGAAAAGAAAAAGAGGTGCCAAGATCATAAAAGTCTGAGGAATGAGGGTTCAAGAGTCCGGAACCCTGGAGCTATTAATATGCGAATATGCATTCCCAAGGTTCCACCCTACAGAGAGTGTGCAGGTACTTGGAGGAGCTTCTAGAGACCAGTGTTCCTTGTAAAATATTTTGAGAAACATTCTTCTAGGGCTGCATTTATAAAGCCAGAATTAATTCAGGTGTTAGTTTGCCCTTTATTTTTCTAAAGAGTAGAAAAAAAAATGTGAATTTTTAGATCCCTGACTATAATGTCTCTGGTGTACTCATCACCAAATATAAATTGTATCCATCAGAACAGATCTATGGTTACTGAATTTTGTTTGATAAAATGCCTTAAAGGGGCATTCCAGTGTCTGTGGTGACATGAGGACAAAGTTCTGAGTATATTTAAGTAAGGATAACTATTCACAGTTACTTCCACCTTTAAATTCAGCTCAGAGGTTGGTTAAAAGTGATCAATAAACAACTGCCTGAGTGGGAGCCAGTTCTATTTCCAAAGATTTAGAATTCCCAAAGTCTGAATCTTTAGGAAAGTTTTGGTGCATTTTTTTATTCTGTATCAAAAATCAGTGGTAAAGTTTTGTCAATATCTTTTTGCAATGTGTGGTCAAATGCTGCAAACTGGGCCTTGTTTCTTAATATTGTACAGTAACACCTCACTTATCTGTAAGTCTCCT